GAATGTTCATTGCAGCACCGTTTACAATAGCAAAGACCTGGAACCAACCCAAATGCCCATCTATGATAGACTGGACAGGGAAAATGTGGCACATATACACCATGGAATATTATGCAGCCATAAAAAATGATGAGTTTGTGTCCTTTGTAGGGACATGGATGAACCTGGAAACCATCATTCTCAGCAAACTGACAGAAGAGCAGAAGATCAAACACTGCACGTTCTCACTCATAGGCGGGTGTTGAACAATGAGAACACATGGACACAGGGAGGGGAGCACTACACACTGGGGTCTGTTGGGGGGAAACAGGGGAGGGTCAGTGGGGGGTGCAGAGATGGGGACAGATAGCATGGAGAGAAATGCCAGATATAGGTGATGGGGAGGAAGGCAGCAAATCACACTGCCACGTGTGTACCTATGCAACAATCTTGCATGTTCTTCACATGTACCCCAAAACCTAAAATGCAATAAAATAAAATAATAAATTTTAAAAAAGGAAAAAAAAAAAAAAGAAACAAAGAAATCCAAGCATCAGCCCTCCAGAGACTTCTCCAAGATCCTAGATTTTGCCGACATCATTTCTCCCCTTATATTCTCTCAATTCCTAAAGATGTTAGCTGTTTTCTCAGAGTATTAATCTCTGGGTTAACCAATTCCCTGTATTAAATTCCTTCTGCTTAAAATAATTAACACGGTTTCTCTTTCCTTCATTCAACTTTGACTGACAGCAATTATTACAATAAAAATTTACTTTGTATGCTAGAATTTCTTTTTCTGAAATCATAATGTAAAAAAGAGTTTCTTCAAATATAAAGATCTTTACTACAGGAAAATTGGTACCAAAAATCCACAAAAACAACTCTGTAAAATCCCTATTAGAGCCGACTGCCATGGCTCATGCCTGTAATCCCAGCACTTTGGGAAGCTAAGGTGGGTGAATCGCCTGAGGTCAGGAGTTCAAGACCAGCCTGGCCAACATGGTGAAACTCCCTCTCTACTAAAATACCAAAATTAGCTGGGTGTGGTGGCAGGTGCCTGTAATCCCAGCTACTAGGGAGGCTGAGACAGCAGAATTTCTTGAACCAGGAGGCAGAGGCTGCAGTGAGCCAAGATTGTACCACTGCACTCCAATCTGGGCAATAGAGTGAGACTCCGTCTCAAAAAAAAAAAGAAAAAAATCTCTCTTAGGATACTTCAGCTACTTATGTTGAAAGCTTCATGACTCATAAAAACACTTAACCAGTGGAGAACAGTTGCTCACAACTGTAATCCCAGCACTTTGGGAGGCCGACGTGGGTGGATTGCCTGAGGTCAGGAGTTCATGGCCAGCATGACAAACATGGCAAAACCCCATCTCTACTAAAAATATAAAAATTAGCAGGCCATGGTGGTGGGCACCTGTAATCCCAGCTACTCAGGAGGCTGAGGCAGGAGAACTGCTTGAACCCAGGAGACAGAGATTGCAGTGAGTCGAGATCACACCATTGCACTGCAGCCTGGACGACAGAGCAAGCCTCCATCTTGAAACACAACAACAGCAAAAAAACCCACTTGACCTGCAGTGTCATTCCTAATCAGCATTTATATCCCAAAGCCCTCTTCACTCTTCAGGAGTCCATTTCTATACATACCAACGGAAGCCAATACTTAGGAGCCAATATTCTTAGGAATATTCTGCCAATTATGCCAGTGGGTTTGGATCCTGCATTTAAGAGGAGCAAATAAATATTTAAAAATCAGATTTTATAAGCCAGCCATGTTTGGGGGAGAGGGCAGTGATTACTCAGCCTAGAACAGAAGACCTCATTTTATAAAACCATTTGCCTGAAGATATCTTTAGAAATTTATACGTGCAAATATATGTTTCCAAAAAAAACGAGATTACATTATAGTTTTTTTTTTTTAATTTAGAAACATCTACACTGATATGGTTTGAATTTGTGTACCCGCCTAAATCTCATGTCAAATTGTAACCCCCCATGTTGGAGTTGAGGCCTGGTGGTGACTGGATCATGGGGGCAGATTTCACTATTACTGGTCTCATGATAGTGAGTTCTCAACAGACGTGGTTGTTTAAAAGTGTGTAGCACCTTCACTTTCTCTCTCTTCCTTCTGCTCTGGCCATGTAAGACATGTCTTCTTTGTCTTCACCTTCTGCCATGATTGTAAGCTTCCTGAGGCCTCGCAGACATATTTACTGTACAGCCTGATGACCTGTAAGACAATTAAACCTCTTTTCTTTATAAATTACACAGTCTTAGGTAGTTCTTTATAGCAATGCTAGAACAAACTAATACATTCACTGAACTAATAATTACGGCTACACCTTGTATATAGGAATTGTTGTAGTAATGTCTTTTCTTCTTACAATAAGTACACATTGCTTTTATTATAATGGAAAACATATTTTAAAATTCCTCTAGTGCAAATTTTAAATACTGGAATTTTAAAGCTGGGATTCACCTTCCATTTGAATGAAAATGCCTCAAGTATGCTATGCCTTTTCAGTAAGCATCTACTTAGCATCTATGGTGTGCCTGGTAGTGTACTAAAAGAACCCCAAAGTAAAATTCCTGTTCATGGAGAATCTAAACCTTACTGGCATGGTTCATAGGCATTTTTACAGTAAGTGGCCAATACATGATAGACCCTCAGTAAACACTTGTTTAATGAACACACACATGTACCATCACAGGATTTACTCTTCAAACTCTTGTTTCGTAGATTAGCTTCATTCAGTTCATTTATCACACACATATCATATTCCATCACTTCTAAGACACATATTGTCCACTTCTGAACTCTAAAATCAGAATGAAGCTTATCGTCAATGTGATTTTTTTAAAGTATTCTATCAGACAATTTGCAGCATTTTCTCTTTTATAATGCTTGGCTGTCTCCCCACCCAAATCTCATCCTGAATTGTAACTCCCACAATTCCCATGTGTTGTGGGAAGAACCCTGCAGGAGGTGATTGAATTACGGCAGTGGGTCTTTTCCGCACTGTTCTTGTGATAGTGAATGAGTCTCACAAGATCTGATGCATTTAAAAACAAAAGTTCCCCTGCACAAGCCCTCTCTCTTTGCCTGCCACCACCCATGTAAGAAGTGACTGGCTCCTCCTTGCCTTCCACCCTGATGTGAGACCTCCCCAGCCATATGTAGCTGTAAGTCCATTAAATCTCTTTTTCTTCCCAGCCTCAGGTATGTCTTTATCAGCAATATGAAAATGGACTAATACAGTAAATAAAATAACAATATGTCTTTTCTTGACAGCATCTTAGATTGAATGAAATATAATACGTATTATATTTTATATATACTGTAGAAAATACATGTAAATACTTAGGCATGCACTCCCTAGGGTTCAACTGGGAAAAGTTTTCATAGGACCACCCCATTCCATGAACATTCAAGCCCCCAGTCATCACATGAAATCCACAACTACTAATTTATATAAATGTTAAAATCAACAGCAGACAAGTAGCAAGTTTATAAAAATGTGTGTACTTGAGAGAGTTTATTTCTCAAAATTTTCAAATTACTATTGAATGTTAAACACGTATTTCTCATATTGAACTTTGATGTAAGGCATAAGAGTATATAAAAGTTCGGTACATTTCTAAGCACTCATGTACTTACGAGACTTTCTTATTTTAGTGTTTGAAGTTAATCAAAGACTTAAAGTTTCTAAGAAACAGAAAAATGACTAAATTGTATAAGCACTGCAAAATTATAAAAGAAACACCAATAAAATCTTACAGGTAAGATGAAATGAACTATGAGAAAAAAATGAAATTTTGTGACAAGGACAGACAGAGAACACTTCAAGAAAGAGAACAATTGAAGAAATGTTACTGGGGCATGGTAGCAAGTGCCTGTGGTCCCAGCTACTCTGGAGGCTGAAGTAGGAGCCTGCTGGAGCCAGCATGAGCTGCAGTGAGCTGAGAGCACACCATGCGCTCCTGCATGGGCAGCAGAGCAAGACCCCATCTCAAAAGAAAATTTTTTAAAAGGACAAAACGTCACCAAACTATGTGAATGTGATTTCATCAGTAAAATATAACCTATACTAACCAAATAATAAAGGAATAACTCTGAACAATGCAATGTAAAATATTGAGTAAATGCATTAAAGACATTACATAAATACAACAATCTTTTAAAATAATAATTGACATCCAGGCAATAATTATTATGGTGGCTGATGCCTATAATCCCAGCACTTTGGGAGGCCAAGGCGGGAGGACTGTTTCATGCCAGGAGTTTGAGAAAAGGCTGGGCAACATGACGAGATCCTGTCTTATCAAAATAAAAAACTTCCAGCCTGGCCAACATGGCAAAGCCCCATCTCTACTAAAAATATAAGAATTAGCCACGCATGGTGGCATGCACCTGTAATCCCAGCTACTCAGGTGGCTGAGGCACAAGAATTGCTTGAACCTGGGAGGCAGAGGTTGTGGTGAGCCCTGACAATGCTACTGCACTCCAGCCTGGGTAACAGAGCAAGAATCTCTTAAAAAAATTTTTTTGTTATGTTTTTTAAAAAAATAATTATTGACATCCAGCCTGGGCAACACAGTGAGACTTCATCACTACAAAAATAATTTTTTAATTATCCAGGTGTGGTGGTGAGTGCCTGTAGTCCTAGATACTTGGGAGGCTGAGGCAGGAGGATTGCTTGAGCCAAGGAGTTCAAGGCCACAGTGAGCTATGATTGCATTACTACACTCCAGCCTGGGAGACAGAGCAAGACAGTCTCTTAAATAAACATTTTTAAAAATAATTATTATTGACATCTACTAGTTCAGTGACTGTATACCAGGTCTGTCTAGTTTAATCATGTAGTCCCTTCACCATCTCTTAGCCTTCCTCTTCCATATTTTCTAACAAAAAGAAGCTGATGTGGAAGCTGGAAGAAGAGAACAGGAAGAAAAGAGACAAGCTGTACTTTCAACCATTGGTGACCATTGTCTATCCCTTGCTTTCTGATCCTGTGACCACCAGTGCCTCCAAAATAATTTTACTGAGGACCTTTGAGAGCGGCAGTCATCAGCTCTTTCCTCTCCCACACTATGCTTTCTCCCTTCCTGGAATTAGGAATATGAAATCTGGAAACACACAGGAGCTCACTTGGGCATATTCCTGTTCCCTGCCCTTGCCAGCTCAAACCCCACCTCGCCCACCCACTGATCAGAAGAGAGTTGGGCAGTCCCAGCCAGGAGGCTCTTTTTCCTAGTGCATGCTTTAGGGAAAGATTTTCAAACTGGATAAGTTTCTATTACTACAAAATAAAAAAGAGAAACTCACTTAAGACTGTATTATACATGGAACATAGAAAACAAAAACTGGATTTTTGGGGATTTTTTTTGTAGTCAACATGATATTAACATCTAAAAGATAAGGAAGAGGTGATGACTAAGAACAACATAGTACTATTATGGCCACAAGTTTACAAAAATATTGTCAATTCATTATACTGCTATTATTCACTGGAGTAATTTTCCATTGACTTCAAAGTACAGATTTGTTGGTAGAATGGAAAGGATAAGATAAAGGTCAGATCCAATTCCTTTTGGTGAGATTAAGACTAAAGTTTACAGAAGTGAGAAAAGTGTCTTTAAGAAGATACTGACCGGTGTGGTGATGGTGGAAGTTGCTTTTTTATACAAAATATTTTCAAGAAAGCCTTTTGAAAGCGCTTGTGACACAATGGATACAAAAGAGGATTGACAAAGGAATTGAACCACTGAAGCCAAAATGCAATTTTGTACCAAACTGATTTAGGAGCTGTTGCTGAGGAGTGAAATGAGAGAGCAATTGTGAACAGAGAGTGCGGAGCCCAGCAAACAGCAAAAACCCCTAAGAGAACGGCCAGGGACTTGGCTAATCTCCTGGCTCTAAGCAGTTCAACATGTTCCCTTTGGTGAAGAGATACAGAATCTGATTGCGAAAAGGAACCCATTTTGGAAGCAATTCTATTGCTATTCATCTTGGTTCTTAAGGAAAACATAAGACTGCTCTTTCTCCTCTGTCTCTCTGAATGAAGGGATGCAGCCACTTCTGTCACTGCAGGAAGAGATGTCCTTGAAGATAGTCTACCTCTGAATGAGTGTCCACAGATGTTAGAAGAGACAGTGGTCAGTCCAGGACGGCTTTGGCACCTACTGAGATGATCACGCTTCCACAGGCTCCAATAAATATTCATGTTGAAATAAGCGACTAAGGTGACTGGGATCAGGAATTCCAAGACTGATGTGATGGCAAGGATGTACCATTTTGAAAAAAATCCAGGTTCACATTCATTATCTTCTTTCTTCCAGGACTCTGAAACTAGAATCACTGGCCCATTCACTAAGAAGGCCAGCACCCAAACGGCCACCATCAGAATGACAATCTTCAAGATCCCAGTGTGTTGAGTTCTATAAGAAACCTAGAAGAGACCAAACAAGTTATTTTCAATTTAATAAATGCATACTGAATGTATAAAGTATCTCATAGGCCCTTAGAAATTTCGGGGATGTGCAAGGATGGAGACATTAACTAATCTGGGTATCATAATGTGGACCAGGGCAGACAGTTCGACTTCGGTGGAGCCTGGGCCAAGATGCAAACTTTCTTAATGGTTTTCAGGGGAGAAGACTGTAACCTTAAGGTTAAATCTCTGATACTATAGAAAATATCAAGGCCAATGTCTAAAATAAGAAAGCAGTTTTTCCTAATTGACACTAATATGAATATCAAACAACTGAAGTTGGGCACACCTTCCCACAGTATTGCTCAATCTGCAGGCTGAAGCATTTTAATGAAATAGAGTAGTTGATATCAGAATGCATCACACATAGTGAGGGTAGGTGTTTTTGATGATGTTTCATCAAACAAAGCAATATATCTTTGGAAACAGAGATACACATATGTAAGGAGAAATGCTGTTTCTCTGAATCACAGTGCCAAATGCATTTCTCACGGTAGTCACAGTCAAAAAAGTTTGAAATTCATTGCCTTATCTGATTCCAATATTCAGAAAGAATCTACTCTGTAGTTTTTGCTGAGACTTCAAGGTGGAATCAAAAAGAGAGAGGACTCTTATCACTCCCAAGAAGATTAATCACAGAAAAAAATACTTTTATTTTATTTTATTTTATTTAGATGGAGTTTCATACTTGTCACCCAGGCTGGAGTGCGATGGTGTGATCTCGGCTCACTGCAACCTCTGCCTCCCAGGTTCAAGCAATTCTCCTGCCTCAGCCTCCTGAATAGCTGGGATTACAGGTGCCTGCCTCCACACCTGGCTAATTGTTATATTTTTAGTAGAGATGATTGTTCACCATGTTGACCAGGCTGGTCTCAAACTCCTGACCTCAGGTGATCTGCCCACCTCAGCCTCCCAGAATGCTGGGATTACAGGTGTGAGCCACCACACCCAGCCCAAAAAAGATTTTTAAACCAGCTGCAGATAAATACCACATTGCTATTAGGCATTACCAAGTTGCTTCCTGATGTTTGTTTTGTTTGTGACAAGGTCTTGTCCTGTTGCCCAGGCTGCAGTGCAGTGGCACAATCACAGCTCACTGCAGCTGTGCCTAGGCTGCCTAGGATCAAGTCATCCTCCTGCTTCAGCCTCCCAAGTGGCTAGGACCACAGATGTACACCACCACACCTGGCTACATTTTTTTGTAATTTGTAGAGACAGTGTCTCACTATGTTGCCCATGCTGGTCTCAAACGCCTAGATTCAAGTGATCCTCGTGTCTCAGCCTCTCAAAATGCTGCGATAATAAACTTGAGCTCACCCAGCCCACCCGCGTCCCTTTTTTGTGCAAGCGTTTCCATCTGAAAAATACAATGTCAAAGCCGTGATGGCTATACACTTTGAGAGACACGACTGTGGCTAGTGCCACTGTCGTTTTTAAGGATGAATAATATTCTAACTCCATTTGGTCACAAGGACAGGCTTCTATAAAGAATAATGAGATTCTATGAGTGAGGACTGCCCTCTGATGACAGGATCCGAAATCCTTATGTCAATCCTAAAATCTTTAATAATGTCTTCTAAATCTAAAGACACCTAAGACCAATCACTGTATATGAGTGATAAGGAATTCTTTAAGGCAACCTGGAACAGACAACCTCTCTGAACCTTATTTAAATTAGTAAGGTTTCAAAAAAAAAAAAAAATTAGGTTCCTTTCAGCTCATATGTTCCATGTTTCTCTGATTTCCTCACTCACAGGGAAAAACACTGATCTACCCATGTAATTGGAGCATGCCCCCTTTTTCTATTTCTTGTGTCATATTTTTTCTGTGAGTGTTTGAGTCTCATTCTGCAGTGGTTTTAAAGGGGTGCAACATTGCCCAGCGTGCTTTCTTTGTTGGATCATACAGGCTTTGTTGGATCATACCTCTATTGGCTGGAGGTAAAAGAAAGCTAGTTAATAATTTAAAACAGGTTTGTTTTTTTTTTTAACGATAGGGAGGTGGGTTTGTTGTGTTTTTCTGAGGCTAAGTTAAAATGCCTATGGTGCTGACCACAAGCTCTCATATGTGATACACTTTTTTTTTGGCCTTCTGCTTCCTGTGCCACTAATTAATACATCTCTTGCACTAAATCTAATGATTATGAAGATGGTAACAATACCCAGATGGTCCTAAAGCTGCGTTTAGTTTTCTAATTGCTCTGCTCAGCCTTGGTAATGATACAACACAATATGTTGGAAAATGATCTCTCTTCCATTATGCATAAGGTCAATTGAGATAATGGACAGCCAAGGAGCTGTGAAGAGGATGCTGATCTCCGCATCTCCAGGGAGCATGTTTGAAAGATAGACAGCTCAAGCATTGGTTGAATCTGGACTCAGGCTGCATGGAGTGGTGTCCCTGAAATCCCGCAGTGGCCTAGTTCTTGCCCACTACAGAATATGTCCATTATTCAGGACACTGTCTCTTACTCCACTTTTTGCCCCACCCCAATAAAATGTCCATACCTTCCGTCAATCAGGGTTTTTTTTCGAGAGGCTGAGCAGCCTACTAGAACTTGTTGGTGATAATAATGAGGTGGATTTCAGGACCATTCTAAATGCCTGTTGTGCGTTAAATTGTGTCCTACAAAAAGGTATGGTGATGTCCTAAACCCCTCAGTACCTGTGAATGTGGCCTTATTTGGAAATATGGTGTTTGCAGATGTAATCAAGATGAGCTCATACTGAATTAGGGGTCACTCTATCCAATATGTCCTTATAAGAAGAGAAAACAGAGACACAGACACAGACCCAGGGAGAGAACACCACATTACAACAGAGGTAAAGACTGGAGGAACACATCTATAAGCCAAGGAATGCCAGGGGTTGCTGGCAACACCAGAAGTTAAAGACAGGCACAGAACAAGGTGTCCCAGAGCCTTCCAAGAAAGGATGGCTCTGTCAGCACCTTGATTTTAAATGTCTAGTCTTCAGAAATGGGAGAGAATAAATTCCTGTTGTTTTCAGCAACCCCGTTTGTGGTCTTGTTATGGTAGCCCTAGCAACAAGCATCGTGTCCCAGCGAGTCCTCCCAGGGCAGGATTTCCTGTGGTCTTGATTTTACTGTCAAGTTTCTTTCTTCTCCTGCCAGTGAAGAAATACCCTTCTTTTACTACCTTAATTCTGTGTACAATTTTTTTTTTGAGATGGAGTTTCGTTCTCATTGCTCAGGCTGGAGTGCAATGGCATGATCTTGTCTCACCACAACCTCCACTTCCCAGGTTCAAGCAATTCTCCTGCCTCAGCCTCCCAAGTAGCTGGGATTACAGGCATGTGCCACCACACCCAGCTAATTTTGTATTTTTATTAGAGACGGGGTTTCTCCATGTTGGTCAGGCTGGTCTCGAACTTCCAACCTCAGGTGATCCACCTGCCTCAGCCTCCCAACGTGCTGGGATGCCAGGCATGAGCCACCATGCCTGGCTTTTTTTTTTTTTTTTTTTTTTTGAGACGGAGTCTCTCTCTGTCACCCAGGCTGGAGTGCAGTAGTCTAATTTCGGCTCACTGCAGCCTCCACCTTTTAGGTTCAAATTCCTGCCTCAGCCTCCTGGGTAGCTGAAGTTACAGGTGCCCGCCACCAAGCCCAGCTGATTTTTGTATTTTTAGTACAGACTGGGTTTTGCCATGTTGGGCAGGCTGATCTCGAACTCCTGACCTCAAGTGATCTGCCAGTCTCAGCCTTCCAAAGCCCTGGGATTACAGGCGTGAGCCACCTCTGTGTACCATGCCCAGCCTCTATGTACATTTTAATTCTCATTCCCTCCAGCTATCATGAAGAGCTGCTGTTCTCCTTCCCCACCCAACTCTGACTTCAGCCACATGGAATCTGCCCCTCCAGAAAACCTCTCTGAGGACTGTAATTATGTGCTCTACCTGCACTGAGCTTTTCTTTTCCAAATTATTGTCAGATTTCCATTTCCCAGGCCATCCATCCCTTTCCCCTTTCTTACTTTCAGCTATAGTAAGGGTTCAGCTTCCCCACTGCTGCTTCCTCTGGGCTCCCAGTGGTCTTTGAAGTCTTCCTTCTGTTTTCACATGGCTGCATTTGAACTATTCGCCAACAGAGGTACAAGGCCTACCTGAGCATCCCTGCCAGCACCCATACATTCATTTGTGGAACCCTATATATTCTACTCTGTGCTGTGCACAGGGGACCCAGGATCTAGCCAACCCATCCCTCATCAAGTTTATAGCCTGAATTGCCAGGGGAATTCCTTGGGGCAAGACTAGGATTTAAAAACAAAAAACACGCCAGGCATGGTGGCTCACGCCTGTATTCTTAGCACTTCGGGAGGCCAAGGCAGGCGGATCACTTGAGGTCAAAAGAAATCACCCTGGCCAACATGGCAAAACCTCTTCTCTACTAAAAATACAAAAATTTGCTGGGCGTGGTGGTGTGCACCTATAATCTCATCTACTCAGGAAGCTGAGGCAGGAGAATGGCTTGAACCCAGGAGGCAGAGTTTGCAGTGAGCTGAGATTGTGCCACTGCACTCCAGCCTGGGGGAAAGAGCGAGAAATAAATTTTATTTCTGTTTCAAAGAAATTTTATTTCTGTCTCAAAGAAATAAAAATTAAAAATAATAATAATAAACAAAAAGAAAGTCTAATTCCCTCTGGGCATCATCCCTCATCTCTCTGTAACCTCTAAGGACTTTGCCCAGCTGGGTAAGCTGTCCCTTTTCTGCCCCCAAACCTGAAAGTAAATTCAAAAGCTGAGCCATCCAGATAAGGAAGCCCTAGGAACATCCAGTGGAGATTAAAAAGAAATGTTAACCCAGAAAGAAAGGAAAAAATGTAAAGTGCAAATGGGAAAGATTCTGAATTAGAGCACTGTTTTTCAAACACTTGACTGTGATCTAAAGTAAAAAATATATATCATAACCAAGCACACAGATGGAAGTATTCATAAAACAG